GTCCTAGGACTGTTTTTTAAGGAGTACATACCCAAAATTGAGTAAAAAAAAACCTTTAAAAAGTGAATTTTGCATAATAGGCCCCCTTTAAGCCTTGTAATGCTCCATTCATCTGAATGATTTGTCTTGAACACACTAGAGCCCCCTCCTTACCACGAATGACCCCCGCTTTGATGTGGTYTGTCAGAGAGGAAATGTTTTAACTTCTCCCTGATTAAAAATGAAATAAATAGCAAAAAAAAATTATCTGGCTTAAAGAGGCTCCATTAAGAGATGCATCACTTCATGAAACAAATGACTGGATTTCATGCAACAACTTGTCATCTATTTGAATAAAYTCTGCACGGCAGTCTGGTTCAGGAACGCTAACCTTGAAATTGTCAATAAATTGAAAGCTGAAGCATTCTGACAATTGTGTCAAGGAAGGGATTATATAAAGCTATCGAAAGCACATGTGCTAATAATGGAGGAGGGGGGAGGTGTTTTGGCTGTCCCATTTTTTTTTATCATTACCCAGATTTTATGTAACAGATTTACTGAAGGAAATATTCTTTTGCCCCCAGGATTGTTCTCTGATCTCATCTTTGTGATGCTAATTCACAGCTGGGTATCAGTTGTGCACGGACAGATTAAAGTGTCTTTTTTTTCCTCTTAAATTCAAGTTAAACCAAACTGTCTGACTGCGGTCTGTGCAACCTATCTGTTGAAAATCTGTGCTCCTCGTTTTGGAGCCCAGGTGGAAAAAAACTGATTTTTTTTTCTTCCCGTTTTTTTTTTAAACATTGCTGATTTTTTACTGCCTCACTTCTCCCTTGTTGTTCTGCCCACAGGACTGCTCCAGCTCTGAGGAATATACAGTAGCTGCTGCGCTGCTGCCCCTGTCAACAGCCTTTTACAGGGTAAGGAAAGTCTTTAAACACGGTAATGTATGAGTTGGCAGGCCGGCAAATTGGCATACAGTGTATATAAGCTTTTACTGATTTTWATTTTTTTATGTGGAGTACATTATGCTGCCACAAATGTTAAAAAAAATTTTGAGGCAACGATATCAGTGAAGAACAAGGTCCCAGGTTACAATTATGTCAGATAAATTGACATTTTTATTTTCTCTTCAACCAATAAAACTCCATGCCCTTCTGGAAAGTGAATTATACGCTTAAATAATATTTAAAACCATCAGTGTCAGTGTAGCTCTAAATAATCCAGTCTTGATTATTTTAAATTAGACTTATCTTATTTTTAGTTCTTCTTTTCCACATTTAAATCATTCATTCGGCCCCCCTCCGGCTTCTAGACCGGTCCACTCCAGCTTAATAGAGGACGCAGTAACATTTTACTTACAAATTGATTAAAAGATGTCAATGAAAGACTTGTCCATCCAGCCTTACATGTAAGAGCCAAAGTCTGACCCAGAGCCAGAGGAGGATGAAGACCAACAAGTTGTATTCATGGTCTAGACCTTATAAACAACGTCATAGACAATAGAGAAAACTGAACAGGTTGAAAAGTTTTTTTTTRCAATTCTTTATTCATTTCATTAAAACAAAACAAATAATTTTATATACAATATACAATAAAAAGAAAAAATGAGAGAAAAATATGCATATCAAAATCACAAATAAAATGAAATGAAAGGCAGCAGAGAGAAGAAAAAATCTTATATCTGCCCCCTTTTTTCCCAAGAATAAGTTCATATAACAAAAAATCTGTTATTAATAAAACAAAAGACAAGAACATCTAATCCCTCTAGAACAACAATTTATATAGATACACATTATACTGTTTCGTATTTCTTTAACAATCCAACTTTTATCATTTTCTTAAATGCACACAATGYTCTGCATATTTTACAGCACTCCCCAAATTATTTCATAGTTTTATTCCTTGAATTAAAGAACACCGTTCCTTCAAACTAGTTCTGAATTTGGGTTTTACAAATATCTCTGTCCCTTTAAGGCTGTAACAACTAAAAAGTATGATGCAGACAGAATATAAAGATACCTTTGCAGCCCCGGTAGAGACTTAAATTAAACTTTTCTGCACTCCTAGAGACTCCAAGTACACAACAAAATACATTTAACGCCAAAAAAATGAATTTTGCATGGTCTGTCCTGTTTAAGGTAAGTCTCCAGCGTTGTGGGCAGGGAGAACCTAAGAGAACACTCGCTGCCTCAACCTTTGACCTTTGCAAATCTTTCAGTGTGTGTACGGTATATTCAGCGCAGCATGGTTAAGCTCCCACAGGGACGTGTGAAGAACAGGCCGTGGAGTTTGGTTTCCAAATCATAACACCAGCGAGGGGTAGCCGCGGTGTTTGCCACAACAGCTCCCAGTAGCTTTGTTGTTGTTATAGAGACAGACACGATTGTTCACGCCGGCCTTTTGTCAGATACCAGTGCTTTATTTTGACGGGCAGGACTGGAACAGGACCTGCCGTCTGTCACCGCATGACTCATCCAGTTCTTACGCCTCTGACTGATAGAAAACCTGATGATGAGACATATGTGGTGTTTGTCTCTTTGCTCCACTCTGTCTGTTGCTCTCAGCTGTTTCTTAAATTCTTTAGCAAAAACGCTTAAACACTTTGTTGATTTTCCACTGTTTCTGTAAAAAGATTAGAAATGATTTCTTATCCTGAACTCACGGCCAGTTAGACAAAATAAAATTTAGAGAAACCAGTTTGTTTTGTTTTGTTTTTTTTGTTTTGGTTATTCATAGGTGACATGTTGTAGCACCGCCTCACCCAAAGGGTAAAAAGTAAAGTAAGGTCATGCAGAAACTTGCCAGAGTATCTTTAATCTCTGGTTGCAGACTTTAATGTTTGCGGAGTGATGCACAAATGTGAGAAAAACAAAGTTCGGGAGAGGATCTTCAGAACAGCTGTCATCTTTGGTTTGGGATTCACAGACACGCATATTCCTGACATGCTGCCATTGTTCTGTCGTGCCTCGTCTCAGATGTTCCAAGGCATTTGCAATCAGCGCTCTTTTTTTATATATATATATATTTCATCCCAAGAAGTTTGGTAATATAACTGGAATTATTTTTTTTTATTTTGCAAAAAAACAAAATGTATTTTCACATTAAAAGCCTGGTGGAATGTTAGATAGAAGGAGGATGTTTTTAATGTTCTTGCCTTTGAAATGTCTGCAAGAAACTTTTGCATGTGAAAATATTTTATTACTTTTTTTGGCTTCTTAAAACATTTTCAGGTTTCAGTTGTATCGTGAATAGTTTACAGATCTGAGGGTCAAACCCTTAAATCAAAATACTTGAAGTAAATCAAGCTGGAGAGCTCAGTTTCTTATTTTTATTTTTTCCAGATTGTTTTTAAATGGTTGTAATTTTTCTGAAAGTTTTAATGTGTTAAACTTTTTCTGCTCCAGCCATGCGTGCCAAAATGTGCTTGTAGCCACAAAACTTTCTTTGTTGTTTAAATTTTCCAATTATTTTTGTACAAAACGAGTCTTGATGCACTCTGTTGCATGTTCTGTATTCTTTAAAGAGTATTTTTTTGAGATGAAGCTATACAATATTGGAAAAAAACTGGAATTGCAATTTATTTCTAACCCTGCGATATGAAAAAATACAGGACTTTTCAACGGATGGCTAGAATAACACTTTGTTTTGCTGCCATCACGATGCACCTGCACCGATCTTACCTCTTTTCTATTCATGTTAAAAATATGTTTTTTATCCGTATTTGAGAGTTATTATTGTTGTTCTTTATTTATTTAAGAAGGGACAGTGCACATTACAGAATACTCCAGAATTAGCCATGAAGGCTAGTTTTCATCTGTAGTCCCTTATTTTTGTTATCTTTTATTGTGCTGAGACCAGAGTATGTCTTCCTCGTTTTTGTTAAGATTCTCATTGTCCTCAAAAAAAACATTGGCGTTTTTGTTCAAAAAGTTTCACAATAAGAAGCTTTTAGCTGTTTTGGCCTGAGATTTGATGTGTGTGGTTATTATGAGAACAAACTCCGCCAACCAATGGAATCAACCCGTCAAAATAAAAGCCATAACATGCAACCGTTTCATGTAAAGACATAGTTCACAAGTTTATTCCATAGATAACGTTGATTTATTTTGCCTCCTAAATCACAGGGCCTGTAATGTTGCTATTGCAAAGGCGTACATTGCGATGACGATGCTCAATGTATCGTGCAGCTCTAACCTTAGAAATTAAAGAAAACTAAGAGATGTGAATTCCAACAGTAAACTTTTGTTAGCCTGTGTATATTTCTACTAAATATTTATTCTTTAGTCAGAGCCTTGCTCAATTGCTATAAAATGGTGATGGGACTCCATGACAATGGTCTGTTTGATGCATGTGGCAGTGAATTCAAGATCTCTTTGCACTACTTGGGCCAATGCTTGGCCCTGAGTAGTCAAAGGAAAATAATTCTTGGAGAACATTGTATGGATCCTGAGAAGCTTAAAACACTGAGTGTTTCTAACCTGGTGTCCTTCTTCCGAGGGATGCGAAGGTTTGATTAAAAGCACAGTGTCTCTTTGTGGAGAGTAATGGGACCGCTTATCCCTGCTTACCTGGGTTTTTACCCATCCCCATTTACCAATACCACATAGTCAGAGCCTTACATTATTTTTCAAAACTAATGGTGTGCTGTCAATAGCCAAAGTGAACAAAACTTAATGAACTTTATTTTATGAGCCTGACTAAATGCAATTATGTAATACCCCAGGAGAGTCATGTGTTAGACAAAGTGAGCTGACGAGTTCAGTCTAAGATTGTGGTACAATTGTTGCATTGTGTAAGAAAAAAATGATCCGATACCAAAAATGCTACCAGAAAAAATGACATGAAAGTTTGTCCAATGTTAAAGTAAGTCCCCCCTTGCTTTGTGTGTTTCCACTGCAGGAATTGCAGCTCACAGATCTTTAATCGTCTTTTTTTAGCTCTTGTTTCTGATCAGGTGTTTCCCAGCCTAAGGGGATTATTGCATGAAGGAGCTGTTCATGATTTGGTCGAAACGACTGAGGGAATTTTCAGATTAATTTGAAGGAGGATTCTGTGAAGTACCTTTAAGTGGTCAGTTGACCTTTTTCACAAAATTCTTTCAATCTGAGTCTGGAACAGAGGCTGGGTTCAAAATCAGGGACTTCATCCTTCAAAGGCCAAATTTGCTGCTTACGTCACTGTGCCACGCCTAAGGCTGTCTATGTTCAAAGACTCCTCCAATTGCAGCTCACAAATACAGTCCCCTTTTTTCCCCAATTTGAGGGATGGGTCGGTAGATCCTTCTTGGCCCACCCTTTGCCAAGGTCGATCAGAAAATCTTTTCTTTTTTTTTTTTTTTGTTTGTAATGGCATATGAAGCAAGAGAATGGAGTACAGTTTTAAATAAAAATTTGGCAGTATAAATATTAAAAGTTTAAAGCAGTTGTTAGGTTTTTGCCATTTGCATAGACATTTTTATTGTCAGAAATCAAACAAGCTTGTTTGTCAAAAACAAACAAGCTCTTTCTCTTAGTTATTGCCAAATATTGCCTCCAAGCTAATTTTGTTGATATATAATATTGATAATATTAAGACAATGATATTTTGCTACATTTTATCTATTTTTTGCTTTTGTTTAATGTCATCATGGTCAAATCGTCAAATCCAGAGCCACTTTCCTCCAGTCTTGGAGGTCGACAAAGAACCCAGCCTACCTACACCAAGTAGGCTGGGTCCTTCGAAGGATGCAAGCCCTGAATTTGAACCAGCCAAACTCTTTATGTCACAATGTGATATATGTAAGCACCTTGTCAGCCTGGGGAGATTTTGAAGTCAACCTGCTGCTGTTATGCCTCTGAGCTGCCAAGATAGGTAGTCACAGAGCTGAAACATTTAGCATGTGGAAGGGTAAGTCAGTGTTGCATGCAGTGTTGCAATC